GTGAAAAGGAGGCCACCGCTGCTAGGCCAGAATGAGAGAGGGACAGCCGAGAGAGCTGCTACATGAAAGTTAACCTGTTTCTTTGTGTTTTTTAACCTTTGTGCAGTGTTTTTCGCGTCGGAAAGAAGCCTGCAGCTTAATGCGCCAATTTGTCTTATTTCTTGCTTGGTGTACTGGAAAGACCGAGAGCCCGAGTTACGCACATTCTGCTCGACGCACCAGCCTGAACTCAGGTGCAAGGTGAGTGTGCTTGTATACTTCTTTCATCTGTTTACATCCTTCGGCTGTCCGTGGTTTTAACACGTCACCTAGTTTGCGAGTAGTGAAGAAGCAAGCGCTGGTTCTCACGGGTTGTGAAGTTGACCTCTTTCGCGCGTCTGTGCGAAGTTTCTACTTAATAATAATGATACTTTATTCTGGCATGTGTGCACAACAGTTACATGCCACGGAGATGAGGCAAAGGGAACAGACGAAACGGCTTTATAACTAGGCCTACATCCCGGCTCGTGAAAAAAAAAACAAAAAAAAACAAGGAGTGAGACATATACTCGTGTAAACAATTTCGTGAACAAACAAACCAAAAAACAAAAAAACAAAAACTAGGACAGCGGTCAGGAAAGCGAAAAACATCCAGAACAGCACAATTCGTCAGCATCACTGTAGAGAAGTCATGGAATTTCAAGCAATTTCGCTATAGAAGTATGAAAACCTATAAAAACCATTTCATGTTGATATGTCCATCAGAATAAAGTTGTGAATAGATTTAATGATTGAAGAGGTGCAATAGTATCCATCATAATTCCGAATTCAAGTGGAGCTAACAATGTGCGTAGTTTAACAAATGAAACGCGGTGAAGTACAACCTGGTGAACAAAAGTATACATCGCAAGTGGCAAAACACATTGCAACAAGCACTTCAACCTGGATCGAAGAGTAATCTTACTTTCTTTTTAAAATGATGTACAGATCTGTTTATCAGTGCTAATTCTACTACAGAAGGAAAACTGGTACATATATCTACTATTCGATGGTCAAGTGTTTGAGTACCATAATTTGTTCTAGATCGTGCTGAAACAAGTGAGGTCCTTCGTAAGTTATATTCAATGTGACGAGTGAGGTACATATTGCTGAATGAAGCAAAATCTTCTTTTATACGATTATAAATAAGAACCATCACTTTAAGTTTGTAGCATTCAGTGAAACGCAATACACGAAAAACAGAAAATAAATTGCTATGTCTATGTCTATCTGGCCTTTTGGTTATTAGCTGCAATGCTTTTTGTTGCATGGTAATTACTTTTTTGCATTTGCTCTATTACATGTTCCCCAAACTAAGCTGCAGTATGTGAGGTGCGAATGAACGAGAGAAAAGTATAGCTGCTTTACCACCGAATCAGGAAGAAGATGGTTAATACGGCTTATAACACCAATGGATCGAGCCATTTTCAGTTTTACATGACTCACGTGATCAGACCAGCTCAAGTTATTGCGGAACTGTACGCCCAGAGACTTGCAGCTACTGTTACATGTTATTTCTGAATTACCAAAATACAGTTTTGCGTGGTGGTGTATTGCTTCGTTTTTAGCACGGAATAAAATGAAATTAGTTTTTTTCGCGTTTAATCTCAGCTGATTTATCCTCAACCATCTCTCTAATTCTTCAAGCCAACTATTCGCTCTCTGCTCAAGTTCTTTTAGGTTGAGACTAGAAAAGAAGATGTTAGTGTCCTCGGCATATAGGATAATGTTCGAAGATGAAGGAATGTTTACAATATCATTTATGTACACAGTGAATAGAAGGGGTCCTAATAATTATCCCTGAGGTACTCCATATTTTATTGTTCCGTAGTTAGAGCGAGTGTCGTTATGTAGCTTTGTGTATTGTTGACGTGCTAGCCTTTCATAAGGCTTCTTGCAATGCCACGAATTTCTTAAATTTCTAATTTTGCTAAGAGAATGTCATGTTGAAGCAAATCAAATGCTTTACTGAAGTCGAGAAATAGTCCGATTGTAAAGTGTTTCATTTCAATGTTTAGAATTAGGAAATTTTTTATATAAAGCAATGCGGTTTCAGTCGATTTCCAGAATGAAAACCGTATTGATGATCACTTATCACATTATTTGTGGAAAGGAAGCCAAAGAAACGTGTATAAGTTATTTTTTCAGCAACCTTAGAAACAATAGGCAGAACTGAAATTGGTTGCTAATTACTGAATTCTGTTTTATTTCCACCTTTAAAGACAACAGTAACACGTGCTATCTTTAATCTATCTGGGAACACGCCAGTGGCCAACATCTGATTGAATATATAGGTCAGTGGTTCTATAAGGCAACTAATGAAATTCTTAATTGGCAATGGTGAGATGTCATCATCACCAGGAGCACAAGTAGTTTTTAGAGAATTAATAATGGTTGTGATTTCTACTTCTGTTGTTGGCGTCAGAAATATCGAGTCATAGTTGAAATGCTGAATGCATGACGTAAGAGAGGTATTATTAGGCAAGGGAATTGATCCGGCATATTTACCAGCGTCCAGGAAGTGGTCATTGAATTTTTCGGCTAATGCAACACCGTCATAGATAATACCCTTAACCGGCATTTCGACGGGTGTTCTGTTAGCTTTACTGCCGATGAGAGTTTTAATTCCTTCCCAGATCTGCTTAGGATTGTTACCTATGTTTGAGAACCTTTTTCTGTAAAATGACGACTTTGCTTTTTTTAGATGAGCAATTAGCACATTACGAAACTTTTTGTATTCAGCAAATATCTCAGAACTTCTCGTTTTAAGAAATTTAGCGAACAAGAAGTTTTTTCCTTTTATTCTTATATTAGGAGCCTTGTTTATCCAATCTTTACGGGCCTTCCTGTGTTTTCTAATTGACATAACAGGAAAAGCGACATTGTAATGGTTAATAACCTTTAAAATGAAATTTTCGTACGTTTCATTTGGAACGGTTGCATTGTAGACGTCTGTCCAATCGGTTCTTTTCAGCAACTCACAGAAAAAAGCGATATTATTGAAATAATTTGTTCTACATGAATGGATACGGGTAGTTCGTTTTTTACTTAAAGGGACAAATACAAAGAACGGGAAGTGGTCACTTAGACCAGACGAAAACACTCCGGAAAAAACCGCCTCTCGAGAAAAGTTTGTGTAGCGAAGATCTATTATTGTTGCTGTTGATTTGTTTACTCGTGTTGGACACTCAATCGTATTTGTACAGCCATACAGTAGCATTATTTCAGTTAAGGCCGCTTGAATCGGAGATCTACCCATACCATCAATATTAAAATCACCAAGTGCAATAACACGCCATTTATTTGAATTAGCATTATCTAAACATGTCTCAATAAACTGAAGAACGGCTTCTGTGTTACCTTGAGGTGGGCGGTACACCGCAATGATAAAAATGTTCTCGTGTAACAGGCTAACACATTCGAAATCTTCGAAAACGCTAAGGATGTCAAAAGATAAGTTCTGGCGCGTGTATATAGTCACACCCCCACCTCGTTTTTCTTTCCTGAATTGAGTTACATGTTTGTAGCTAGTGAATTGAATGACGTCTTCCTCCGAGCGGAACCACGTCTTCGTAAAATCAAAAAAAAAAAAAAAATCAAAAGGGTAGTTGATCTGCTTCATTTCAGCATCAACTTCCTCTACCTTGTTTCTTAAACTTTGCGCATTTAGGTGATAAAAGGTTAGGCTATTGTTTGTATTGTATCACGAAGTTTTGAACGCTTCTAGGAATGAATCAGTAGAAAAATGGGCCATTTTTTACTAAGTTCTTTTCTGACGAAACGCACAGTCTGTTTTACATAATTATGTCTAAGTCGCTTTCATTGTTGATGTTGATGGCGCGAGTACTTGGTTTATTTCGAGCAAATATCTTGCCTTCCTTCGTCCAGACAAAACGGTAGTGTGCTTCCGCAGATTTTGTCTTTGCGAGCCACAATAACCTCTTGTTTTGCGCTGTTAAGTTGTCGAAAAACTTAACATTCTTTATGCATTGCTTCAGAGTGCTACGCTTCGCAATCCACAGTGCTTTTGTGGACTGTTTGCAAAATCTGATGAGCACGACCGGGGTTTTGTCGGACCATAAGGGAATGTGATGCAGCCCATCAACATTGTTCTTCGTAAGCACCGGCAAATCGAGCCTTCTTGCCAGTTCATTCCCTTTTTCCATCAAATCTTCGCGTTCAGTTTCAGGCAAGCCATGTATTTTCATGTGTTGTTTTCTGCTATATTGATTTATAGCGTTGAACTCCGTGCGCAGCACAGCCATTGTTTGTTTGTTATTAGCTACTTCGAGCATATCAACTGTCTTTTGTAGGTATTCGATTTGCTTGTCATGTTTATTTGAAGATTCTATAAGATTATCATAAGTGTCAGACATGTGTTGCACAGATGTCTCAATGTTGCTCACTGCATCTTTAAGACTCGTTATTTCATCGACCTTAACTGTAAGCGCAGCAAGCGCTCTGCTTATGTCCACCAGCTGCCTGGTCATAGCAATGGATACATTGCCATACTGCTGTCGAGCAGTGGCAGTGCTTCGAGACGCTGTTAAGCGACATGTCTGACACTTCATACTCGCCCTCGCTTCAACGTCTTTGGATTTGTACGTACGCTCGCCGACGCCTGAGCACTTTCCGAGGTGATAGCGCAGACCACATTGTGCACATTTCATGCATTCTTCATCTGCCAGTATCTCCTCAAAACACGCTAGACACGTTTCGCCAGGGTCGTTGCTCATGGTGTAAGCACGGGCTGCACACTTACAATAGTTCCAAGGCAATAGTGCACAGGAATTTTCTTTAGAGTGCTAGTAAACGCGATACATAAGGAACACTTGCTTGCTCAGTAAACGCGTTACACAAGCTCAGCACACTCTCTCAGTGAACGCGTTACACAAGAAACAATTGCTCGGGCAGTAGAGCAGCAGCAAAATACAGGAACAGGTACAAGTGCGAAAAAATGTTTTGTAGAACAGCAAACTAACCTGCAAAAGTGAGCCAAATTTCTCAGATGCTGCTCTTGTGTATCCGCCGCCGCCACCACTGCCCGAGTGTGATCACCAGTGTGCAGTTGGCGTTTATAGCTGATTAGATGGCGTAGCAGCAGGTCACGTGGTGCGTTGACGCTTGAATATGTTGTTCTGCAGTGTCGTTGTATTTCCTTGTCCGGGACCCTTGCGTCAGTGGATTCCACGGTAGAAACCTTGGAAGGGTGGGTAGCCGGCACTTAGACAGCGCGTCACAGTTTCGAGCTTCGATTACCAGTTGGCACTTCACAAGTGAGCAAAATTTTTCAGATGCTGCTCTTGTGTATCCGCCGCCGCCACCACTGCCCGAGTGTACTTGCTTGCAGTATGCATTCAAGCGACGTGCATGCACCGTTGGAGTTAGCCCGACACCGCCGCTTTGGGCGGTGCTTTCGCGCCGAGGCTAATCCACGTGCAGTGATTTTCAGGCGTGAGCTTGTCGATTGGTAATAAAAGAAAAGTCCTCTTTCTGTGAAAAAAAGGAAAAGAAAACGTGAGCGTACGAGGGAAATTAGCACGTGTGCATTTCACTTATCGCGCACTTTCAATCGCGATTGAAAGTGGTTCACGGTGCAAGGACCGTAATCGATTGGGCGAGCGCGTTATCTTTTGCACCGCTGAATACATTGAGAGTACCTGATGAAGATGTTTCGTAATGACTTTTTGTTTTTCTGTTTAATTTGTTCGTTATAATACCTGCGCTATAAGCCCGTGACGATCATCACTTTTCTGAGGAACAATGTGGACACAACAGCCGTGAATTCGTAAATTAAACGTCAACCAGAAAGAGTTTTTTTGTCTAGTACTGTGGTTGAAAACTGCACCTCTTCCGCAATGTCTTACTCTGGTTCTTCTCGACCCCTAGCCGGCATCAAAGGCAGACGTTGGTAGCTCATTGCGATCGGGCAACACTACCCTGATTCACGAATCGCAATTGAAAGCGACCTTAGCTTGTAAATGTACACGGAAGCGTAAATACGTCGCGAAAAAGAAAACCAAGATGAGAAAAACAGAGTTTATTTTGAGAGACATTATACCAAGAGCCATAATGCGCGTGGGCTGACTGAATTATTTAAAAGAAAAGTTACTGTTTATGAAAGCAGCAGATATCACTTCGTAAAAAGTGACAAATTGGAGTTAAGTGCAGCGTTATTGACATATGCAAGCACTTAAAACGCAGTAGGTTTAGGACATTTCTTGGAGATGTGTCAAGTGCTTGCGAGTTTGTATGCAAGTTACTGGATGCAACTGTCTAACAGACATCATTCACTGACTGCTAATAGCTTCAATCGTATTTGGTCCACAGGCCTGGACTGAATGGCCAACAGACACCTTCTGGCGTAGACGGGTCAACTTCAAGCATATTTGGTCATAGATGTCACTGAAACTTTCACAGTGCCAAGCGATATATGTATTCAATATCTCACAAGTTTTTTATTTAGTCTACTTTTTTTACCATTTCTGGTTACCATTGCATTTTAATTGTGAAGACAGACCAGGTACTAAATTATGTCTTCTAAACTAGTACCTCAAATTTGATGGTTAGGCTAACCCTCCCCCTGCACCCAAGCCAGAGTTGCTTGGCCTCATTGTGAAGGAGGCCTTTATGGAAGTTGATATGTCTTCTTTTTATCTTTCATTTTGTCATGTACTTTCTTCCCTTGAACAGTGTGTAGGCTTGTAATATGAACTGCTTTATCAGCTGCTTATGGTAAACAATGCAAGACGGCCCTTAGAAGTTTGGTTATGATGCATGATTTAGATAGATATGTCTGGTTAATACAATTTTTCTCCCAAGTCTAACAGATTTTTTGCTTGTGAATTCCCAGCATGCAGGTGAAAAGAGCCTGGAGAGGATGCCAGCAACACCTCATCTAGCTGTCACTGGTGAGTAGGTCATACAGAAATTTTTTGCACAAAACATGACTTGTCTAGCTTAGCTAATCAAGTCATGGCCAAAGTTCAAGGCGAAAGTTCTTGGAAAGATAGAGATGGAAAATTCGAGAACGTGCAGTGTCACTGGAGCAAACGTTTCGACAAGTACACTTGTCTTCTTCAAGGCTGCAGCCTTCAAGAAGACAAGCACGCTTGTGGAAAGGACGTCTCAAGCGACAATGCATGAGCATGAAGTTTTCAACCGAAATATTGTTTTTCTATGACCTGACTTGATCTGTAAACTGTGTTATATGCTGATGGTGAGAAGGACTAGAGGCAGTCCAAACCTGCTCCAATATTACATCACTGGTAGGATACCCTTCACATTTGAGAAGGAGACTGCTTAAAAATGCAGAAATTCAGTGTTTTTCACATAAATGAATCATTAGGTTCACCAGCCACTTTAGGTCTAAAGACACAGCCTGACAGATTTCTGTCAAATACGTTCACTTACAAATTGTGCCATTTAACACATGGATAGCTTGTCCCATAACATTCTGCCTATGCCAGAAAACTTGAACTACATTCTGCATTCCTATTTTCTTTCCTAATAAGGATGTCTTTTTTAAGAAGCATATGATAGCTTGTTGCTGCTGAACGTTGTTTTCTTTTTATTTCACATAAAATACCTGTTTGTTAGGCTATTTCAACTAACAGGTGTTATGTGTTTAAAAGAAACGTAACACCTGGGTCATTCTAAGCCAAGTATGCCAATCATTTCGGTGGCCATGTCCAATATATTGAGTCACTTCATATCAAGCGTACTAGGTCAATTTTCGACCATCTCCGATCATGCAAAAAAAAAAGAGTTGTGCAGGTATATGTGAATGTCAGTAGTAGTTACTGAGTCATTATATTTTCCAAAAGATTTTTGTGTTGCCTGCCTAGATCGCACTTCAAATTTTAGTCACCCAAGTGAAACTGTGCCACATTAAAGAATATATATAATGTTTTTAGCCTTGGCAAAAAGTTGCAATATGCTGCATGTATAGCGTTTTTTATAAAAAGTACAACTTTTTCGCAATACTGTAATGTAATAATGTTTTTATATATTCCACTATTTTAAGCATATCACAAAAACCAATACATTTACTGCACAAAATTTCTGCTGGGTGTTCTTTAATTCAAAATGCAGTGTCTGTAATACACAAATTCGTGCAGTTGATACATTTCCGGCGTTTCACTTCTGAAGCCCAAGTATTTGATTGGCATAGATTATGGAGCGTGGATTTATTTTGTCAGTTCATTTTTGTTCCGAGTTACATGGGGCAGATCATCCCGACTAAACGCTGTGTTGAATGCAGAGTCAGTGGAGTATCTCAAAGATTGCTCAGCCTTCTCAAAATACTTTGAATAAATGCGCAAGTATTCACAAAAGCTTTCATTACATAATTTATGCAGTTCTACCCATGTCGAATGACAGTGGCATGGCGACGTAGACTGCACTACGATTCATAATGACACAGAATACACTTGTTCTCATGAGCGATTATCAACAATGCATTGAGAGCCTGCTGTCACTTTACAAAGTAAATGCTACATTGATGGTCTAATGATAGTTTAAATTGACAAGAAAACGTTAAAGGACACTAATTAGAAATTACTTTCATCTAAAATTGACAACTTTTGATGGTCAAAGGGTGCCAATCGAACAGTTCAGGTGTGTATGACGTTGACTGGAAAACGTCAATATTATGAAAGAATACCATCATTTGCAGATGACGACCTTTAGTTTTTGACATAAATGTTACCAATTAGACAATTTCCTTGTATTTTGAAATGACGGAACACATAAAAATGAGAAAATTGTGCCGTCGTTTGAAAATGATGGCCTGTCGACATTTTGATGTAAATGTTGTCAATTTGACGGTTTGCTTGTATTTTGAAACAATGGAAAACACATCAAAATGATATAATCGCGCCTTCATTGGAAAATGACAGTCATAAGCTTGGAAATATAACTGCTGGTATATTCACCAACATTTGACAAAATTCTTTACAGTGTACCTCTCGTTGGTGTAGCGAAGTGTTCTGGGTGTGTTATCGTTACATGGTTGTGATTGCTGCCTATTGTGCTTTGCAGTTTAAGGCAAAATTACCCGGCAAACAAGTAACGGAGCACAAAGGGCGCCCATTTCGGAAATGTTATAAATGATACACATACAAACTATATCTAGTCCCATTTAAGCAATATATTAGCATATGTGGCTTCTGTTTACCATATAAGGATGTATATCTGACAGGGTCAATGTATATATGTGATCATATACAGGCATATATGATGCGGTAGGTTCATCATCATCATCATTAGCCTGACTACGTCCACTGCAGGACAAAGACCTCTCCCATGTTCCGCCAGTTAACCCGGTCCTGTGCTTGGTACTGCCAATTTATACCCGCAAACTTCTTAATCTCATCTGCCCACCTGACCTTCTGTCTCTCTATAACCTGCTTGCCTTCTCTGAGAATCCAGTTAGTTACTCCTAATGACCAGCGGTTACTCTGCCTACGTGCTACATGCCCAGCCCATGTCTATTTATTCTTTTTAATTTCAGCAATGATTTCCTTAACCCCCGTTGGTTCCCTAATCCACTCTGCTCTCTTTTTGTCTTTTAAGGTTACACGTACCACTTTTCTTTCCATTGCTCGCTGAATCGTCCACAATTTAAGCTGAACCCTCTTTGTAAGTGTCCAGGTTTCTCCTCTGTAGATAAGTACCGGCAAGATACTGCTATTATATACTTTCCTCTTGAGCGATAGTGGCAATCTACCTGTCCTAGTTTGAGAGTGCTTGCCAAATGTGCTCCACCCCATTCTTATTCTTCTAGTTACATCAATCTCGTGGTTAGGCTCTGCGGTTATTACCTGCCCTAAGTAGACATAGTCTTTTTTAACTTCAAGTGCACTATTACCTATCTCGAAGCGCTGCTCCTTTCCGAGGTTGTTGTAAATTACTTTCGTCTTCTGAAGATTAATTTTAAGACCCACCTTTCTGCTCCCCTTGTCTAACTCCAAAATCATGAGTTGCAATTCGTCCCCTGAGTTACTCAGCAATGCAATGTGATCGGCGAAGCGCAGGATTCTAAGGTACTCTCTATTATT